ATCTGCGTGGACGGGATGGAGCCAGCCAGCTGCGAGAGCTGGTCCCGAAGATGCCGAGCTCGAGGGAGATTGCGCTTATCCCCCTTCTGGCCCACCAACTCCTCCAACAAGTTAGCCACAGAGGCCCACCAGCGAGCACTGGGATCAGCGGCAGTAGGGTACGGCTTACTTCCAGCATAGACTCCCAACTGAGGGCCCCGCAAGGAGTCACGACCACGGTACTGCCTCCTCGCCAAGGGGTCCACCTTATACAATTCAAGATAATACAACTCCATGGTTGAGACCCAAGACGCGAAAACATCTCCGAGGTCATAAGCTTCCTCCCCGGCCGCCTGAAACGCCAACGACTGCTGAACAAAATCAGGAACGGGTCGACGCGAAACTGCGGGCGCCACCTGCTGCCACAACAGATCCTTCGCCTCCGACGACCACTCCAACTGAATCGAGGCATGCGTGTCCACTTCCGAATCAGAGACGGCCACCTGCACATCATCATCATCTTCAGGGACGTCCGTGTCCTCCCCGTCCGTGAAAAACTCGTCATCCTCCTCCTCGAAAAGGGCGTATTGCAACGGGGGCGGGCTCTTGATGACCAGCGTGCGCCTCGGCCCCCACGACGACGGAGCGGGCATGACACCCTGCTGGGGTTGAACTTCTCGGTCCGCCTGCAGCTCCGCTTTCTTCCGCGACCGCTTGCTATCGGGGTCAGCGCACGGCTTAGGCCGAGCAGGGTGTGGGAAAGCTCGCGGCAACCTCATGAGCCACGCTCTGGCGCGGCATGCGTCGAAGTTGAGGCTGAGCTGGAGCCCATAATGGGCCTTGCCCGCCCCCTCCACCGCCTGAAAGTCCGCCAAAAGAGACTCGACCCAAGGCAATGCATGCGGAGAAGCCACGATATAATCCAACATGCGCCCTGACCCCAACGTGCACGTGTACTCAGTGTTAGACGGAACGATCACATTGCCATTCACAAGACCCAACCACCCCGTACCAGCTAACTCATTTGGGGTCATATTCCAGTCACCGATGGCCAACCACGGCCCTTGAACCGTCGAAACCAAAGTGCCAACGTTAGCGAGCTTGGGAGCGTTTGCCTTCGGCCCGATCGAAGAGGTCATGTACACACCAACGATCAACAACGACTGGCCCTGGGCCCGTAGCTGCATAGCCACCATATCACGGAAGTCGATGCCTGGCATAGCCTCTGGACGCCGATCCAGGTCACGAAGCCCGACCTGGTCCGATGGCGACGACGCCAAATGCCTCACCGACTGAACCTTATACTTCTTCAAAGTGCCCATAGTAATGCCACCTGCACGAGACTTCCCGTTCTGCTCGTAGGCGGCCGACAACATGCCAATGTATCCTGCCTTGCGCCAATCATGCAACAACTCGTATGATCCAGCCTCAGGAACATGAGTCTCAGGAAACACGAGGATATCAGCGGCACGACCTCGGCAAACAGATCGCGTAGCAGGTCCCCATCCACCCAAGTTCCGCATGTGCAGCGTACGGCGGGCCACAACTGCATCCGATCCGACCTGGCCCCCGAGAAGGCGCTCCCCCCCTTTAACCCCTTGGAGACCGCTCGGAGAGCGGCGGGGGGGGCCTGCGGTTGCCAGGTCTGTACACGAACTGGAAGCCCCAGACGACGAAGCCACCACAGCCGCGGGGCCACCGAGACCGCACGCCTCCCCCCCTTCAGCGGCCCCCACAGTCGACACCGTCGACTGCGGACAGGGCTCACGCCCACGCGCTGCAGCGAAAGGGGTTGAGGGGGTTCCAGTGGCCAGAGCGTCCGCAGCAGCGCCAGCACTTGTAGGGGCCGAACTCGAACTCGTAGCTGGCGGGCATGCCCCTCGACCTTCAGGCCCGCCACGATCGAGGGGATCCGAGAGGCTAAAGGCTCGGCGGCCCAGCCGTAGCCGCCGCCAAGCGCGCCGTCGCCAGCATAGCCTCCGCGTCCGCCTTGAGCTTGCTCTCCAGGGCAGCCAGGCGCGCCGCCTCCACAGCGTCGGGCTCGCCTCCGTCGCCCGCAGAGCCGCCTGCCGCCGAGCTGGCGGCTGCGCCCGAGGCTGCCTGGTCGGCCGAGGCCGCCGTAGGCGCAGGGCCGTCGCCCGTCGCCTCCGCCACCTGAGGTGGCCCAGGCGAGTGCTCCCTGCGCCGCTTGGCGACCTTCTCGCGCATCGCCGACAGGTTGTCGCGGTGCTCCTTGAGCTTCTCGTGAGCCTCGCCGAAAGTGGCCCGCAAGGTGTGCATCAGCGCCTCCATGACAGCCTTTTTGCGACGATCCAGCTCCTCCAAATCCTTTTGCTCAATGAGCCCGTCCTCATTATTGAACTCCGCACCGAGAGAGATGGAGAACAAAGAGTCGTCCACCGACTGCGCCGACAGCAGCGCCGACAAATCGATGGTGTTGCTCGCCTGGGCGCCACCGCCCGAATCCGTCGGCACCATGGAGCGGAACAGGGTGGCCCTCTCCGCCTCAGCCTGTGCCAACGTCTGCGCTGCATCCAGGAGCGTCTTCTTACACTTCTCCAATTCCTTGGTCAACTTCAACTGCTGAGACTGGGCCTTGTCGAAGGCCGACTGAGCCCGTTGCACCTTCGACGCCGCCGCCGTCACCTGCTGCGTGATCGGCAGCGCCGTGTCCGTCTTCTTGCCAGCGGCCCGAGTGGCGTCCAGCAGCGCCTGGGCCGCCTTCGCCTGCTCGGTGCCGCCACGCGCCTTGATGACCGCCTCAAGCTGCGCCTCCAACGCGCCCAGGTCCTTCCCCTTGCCCTTGCCCTTGCCATGCTTGGGCCCGCCACCGCCCTCGACGGCCTCGGGCGGCGGAAGGTTGCTGAAAGGCGCCCCGCAGAGGCACGTATTCTTATACATCGCCAACTTACTGGTCCAGGCCCAGCGCAGACATGCCGAGCACTTCACCTTGGTGTCCTGAGCCTGGGGAGACTCACGCTGGTGCCGCACAGCCCCAGGCAAGGGCGGCGGCGGCGGCACGAACCACGACTGAGGCACGTGCCATGGCGCCCACCCGATGCCGCTCCCCCGCGGCGCGGCCTGCTGAGGCCCAGGACGGAGCGGGAGCGGCGGCCATGGGTCCCCAGGCTGCACCTCCTGCTGCTTCTTCGCGATGCGAGAGCGCTTGCTCTTGCCCATCGTTTTGCTACCGACTATTTGTGATCTGGATCCCGCCTCGGGGACTGTCGATCCCAGCCGAAATCGCGTGGAGATTGTCGGGGGCCACAAAAGCCCGTGGTGCGCCTCAGCACCTCGGACGGTCGGGGCCCAAACGGCTTGAGCCAAAATGGCTACGGAGGAGGAGGAGGAGGAGGAGGAGGAGGAGGAGGAGGAGGAGGAGGAGGAGGAGGGGGAGGGGGAGGAGGGGAGGAGGAGGAGGAGGAGGAGGGAGGGGAGGAGGAGAGGAGGAGGAGGAGGAGGAGGAGGAGGAGGAGGAGGAGGAGGAGGAGGAGGAGGAGGTGCGGAGGAGGAGGAGGCGGAGGAGGAGGAGGAGGAGGAGGAGAGAAGATAGAGGATGAGAGGTTGGAGCAGCAGATAGGGTACAGAACAGAGGCAAAGCAAAACAGAGCAAGAGGAGGAGGAGGAGGAAGAGGAGGAGGAGGAGGAGGAGAGGAGGAGGAGGAGGAGTAGGATAAAGGGGGGAGGGCGAGGAAGAGGGCGGCTGAGAATGACGATGAAGACGAGGAAGAGGACGAAACTGATGATGAGGAGGAGGAGGAGGAAGAGGAAGAGGAAAAGGAAGAGGAGGGTAATAACGAGGAGGAGGTGGAGGAGGAGGAGAAGGAGGAGGAGAACGAGGAGGAGGAGGGGGAGGGGGAGGAGGAGGAGGAGGAGGAGGAGGAGGAGGAGGAGGAGGAGGAGGAGGAGGAGGAGGAGGAGGGCGCGGAGGAGGAGGAGGAGTACTTTCTCGAGCGCTTCGTTTTTTTCTCCCACCACCGGAGTTTTCAATACCGGGGGTAGTCAGGACTCCTTGGGTGCCCCAGTACAGAAAAACGTGACACTACATATGAGGAATAACATGCGTCTCAAATGCAAACTCCTTGTTCTCATAAGCATTGGCGAACATCTCGGGGGAGGGTCCGGATTCTGACTTTGGTTCACGCGCGTCGCACGGCTCAAGGCCGTGGGCCAGTTTTTGGGGCACGGGCGCTGATCCAGGAGACAGGCGGTCCATCGCATGTTTTCGATTTCTTGAGATTTGGACGTGCGGTCGCGGATGGAAGCTAGACTGATAGGCCGTTAATGCCATCAGCAGTCGTCAGCATCTATCGCATTTGCCAGGTCTGTCGTGAGCGAGGTGATCACTATCTCTCTCGGAGTAGTTCCGCATACCGCAGAGGAGGAGGCGGAGGAGGAGGAGGAGGACGACGAGGAGGAGGAGGTGCGGAGGAGGAGGAGGAGGAGGACGAGGACGAGGGCGAGGAGGAGGAGGCGGAGGAGGAGGAGGAGAGAAGATAGAGGATGGGAGAGGTTGGAGCAGCAGATAGGGGACAGAACAGAGGAAAAGCAAAACAGAGCAAGAGGAGGAGGAGGAAGAGGAGGAGGAGGAGTAAGATAAAGTGGGAGGGCGAGGAAGAGGCGGCTGAGAATGACGATGAAGATGAGGAAGAGGACGAAACTGATGATGATGAGGAGGAGGAGGAGGAAGAGGAAGAGGAAAAGGAAGAGGAGGGTAATAACGAGGATGAGGAGGAGGAGGAGAAGAATGATGAGGAGGAGGAGGAGGAGGAACAGCACGAGGGGGAGGGGAGGGGCGGGGGAGGGCGAATGAGACGGTGGACGCAGCCCGACGGTGTCATGCACTCAATCCCGCCGGTCACGCTTGGGCCCCTTGGGGTTCGTTGGCCACCCGGTTTTTGTGTGGCTGGGGCAGCAGCAGTTGGCGGAAGCAGCGGCCGGGAAGCGGCGGCAGCGGCGTGGAGAGGAGGGGGGTGGATCGGTGTTGTGCGCGGGAGCTCGCGCGTGAGAGAGAGAGAGAGGCGATCTACACGGTCGCGGCTGCGCTGAATTTCGCCGTGTTCTTAAGGACCGTTGCTCTTCAGTGGCCGTTCTGGAGGGGGGAGGGGGGAGATGGAGGAGGAGGAGGAGGATGTTGCAAGACACCGTTCCTCCAAATTCCCTCTTCATAGGTCCCTGCAATAATTTCATTTCATTGCGAGAAGTGCCCCATTGGAAGGCAACCGTTTAAGAACTTACAATCACGCCAAAGCGCAATTCCTGGAACTCGTCGCTGCGATCCAACGTGACTCTTGCGTCTTGACAATCCTTAACCGTGTCAGAAAATCATTCCTGGGATTTCAACACCGCGAATCAACACGACCGTCGCGTCCTGACAATTGTAAGTCGTTCAGAACACCATTCCTGGACTTCAACCATACGAACCCTTTCATCTTCTGTTAACTGTTAAGACGAATGTGCGCGGTGCCATGGCGAGATCCGCAGCTTTGAAAAAAGGAACCGCCCTCAATCTCAAAATTGCTGCACATGTTTAAGACGAATGTTCGCGGCGCTAAGGCGACAGCCACATTTTGACAGCGGCTTGCCCCCTCATCTTTGAGACAAGTGCACACTTATACGACGAATGCGCGCGGCGCCAAAGCGTGAGCGTTGAAAGCGGCCTCTCCTGCATCATTTGGAATTGTACACTTTTTAAGTTGAATGTGCGCAGCACTAGGGCGAGAGCCACATTTTTGCGAAAGGAGCGCCCTCCGTCCGTGAAGCTGCTGCAAACCTTCGAAACGAAAGTGCGCGCAAGACCTGCCCTCCATCCGTGAAGCTGTTGCAACCTTCAAGCTTCGGCATCACGGATGGCGATGACATCTCAAGCAAAACGCCGGGCCCGCCTTGCTGTCATGTCTGGGGGCGCGACAGGGAGGGGTTCTCTAAAAGGATAGGACTGGAGGAGTAGGAGGAGGAGGAAGAGGAGGAGGAGTAGGAGGAAGAAGGAGAGGAGGAGGAGGAGGAGTATGAGGAGGAGGATTTGCTTACATGGTCTCTCAACCCCTTTTTCCTTCACCCCACGAAAATCCTGGATCCCCCCCGAAGCATCGGTTCCCATACATTTGGCGCCTCGAACAAATGGAGGCGATCAGCTTGTCCCCGTTATTGGCCTCTGGAGGCCAGGCTTCTGGGCCTCGGCGCCGTGATCAAAAACAGCCCGGGAGAAACAAGAACGGCCCCAGGTAAGGGGTCGAGAGGTTCGGGGACCCACGCATCGGACAAACATCGAAGCGCCAGCGGTCTCGGTGTACATTTGCACCGATCCTGGCCAGGCCGATCTTGGAGCCAAGGTCCACGTATGCGTTCTGATGGCTCGGCGAGTAGGACAGCTGCACGACCCGGGGCCCAGAAATGGCCTGGCCAGTTTCGTTGCAGGCGTTTAGTTGACGCATTCCGATAGCAGCCCCCTCGGCTCTGGAGCTTCCAGGAGCCCTCTCGGATGTCCCCAGAGCTCCAGGGAGCTTTATCTCTGGGGCCTCCAGGGCTCCGCTGCGTTCCTCCCTCTCCTCCCTCCCACCTCCGTCCTTCTTGCCTCCTCCTCCTCCTCCTCCTCCTCCTCTGCCTCTGCCTCCTCCTCCTCCTCCTCCTCCACCACCTCCTCCTCTTCCTCCTTCTCCTCCTCCTCCTCCTCCTACATCCTCCTCCTCCTCCTCCTCCTCCTCCTGCTCCTCCTCCTCCTCCTCCTACATCCTCCTACATCCTCTTTTCCTCCTGGCCCTCTCCCTCCTCGCCCATCCTCCCTCGCTCCTCCCCCCATATATCCCCCCCTCCCCATCCCCCTCCCCCCTCCCCCCATCCATCCTCCCTCTTCCCCCCTCCCTCCCCGTGGGGGTGACATTTAAGACTATGTGGCGTGCGCTGCTTTCTCGCGCGGACACATTGTGTCGCGCGGCATCTCATGGCGTGAGCCTGCTCGCGTGCACCGTTGTAACGCGCTAAGTCGAGTTTATCAGGTCTAGCAGTAGTGGCCGTATGTGTACTCATGTAATTATTACTATTATAATTAGGTCATGCTCGTGAGTTTGCTCCTTGTCCTACACATCCTCCTGACTTTACGCGTACAGCAGCGTCGTATGCTTATTTCTACCCGGTGCTCTGCTGATGACCCGTCCGCTCCAGATATGTGACGAATCCGCGGCGCCGCTGTTTCCCGCCCGCACGCGTTGTGTTCGCACCGAGGCTCCGCCGTAAAATCGCCCCACACACATTGCTGCGTGTACAAGCCCAGCGAAGCACTGCCCGAGTACAGGGGCAAGCCAGTGCCCATTAAAATCGCACAAGCCTACTTATTGATCCGTCAGCCGAAGCGCATGGCGCTCAGGCGGGATATGGCGGCGTCCACGCCGTTGGGGAAGTTGCCGCAACGGATGCACATGGCGCTCAGCATCGAATCCTGCGCTGAAGTAATTCTACACCGATGGAGCCGTTTTCGTTCCGTGTTCAAGATCGGCGCTTTCCTTCTGTTTGGGCACCGTTTCTGGCACGTGCTCTACCTCGGGGTCGGACAGTGGCCGACCTGCTCGTTTATGTCTGTTTCCAATACGTGGTTAATCTGTGTTTATCTCACAATGCCGCCTGCGTGGCGCCCACATTCCGGGGTGTAGTTTTTAGAACGTTCTGGTCGAGTCAAGAACGAGAAATGGAAAACGGGAAGAAAACGCCTCCAACGTTTGTAATAACAATTATGGTCCTGCGTGCGCAGAAGGTGCAACTTGATCCCCACGCGGGCCAAGTCACTCTCGATGTCTACATCGTCGACCGGGTACTCGGCCTCGATGGCCAGGTACCCGCACATGAAGTGGAGTTGGTCCTTGGCAGGGCCCCCGAAAGCACAGGAGCGGATTTCGGCACGACGTGTTTAAGTCCGTTTCTGCCTTTTCAGTCGTGAAATCGTCGATCGGGACCGCGCGCCAGGACGCATGGCGAGTCTCGAACCGTTCGTCGACCATGCGACTCGAAGGGGACCAGGTGCCGCGCGCCACGCGGCATCGTCGAGACATGGCGCGTGATCTGGCGGGCGGATCGGCAAAACCCCCAAACAGAACGATCAGGCCCTCTGAGCCTCCCGCGTATGGAAGCACGGGGTCATGATCGGCCGCTCCCATGCTCGAAAGGGTGACCCAGCTCTGCATCGGAGGTGTCAGGAAGGAGGCGACGCGACCGAGAACGGTGTGAGGGATCTGGATGTCCCAGCGCACAATCGCCATCAAAGCCTTGCAGAACAAGTGTTTCTTCAGGGCGAGAGTCTGCTGGTAAACGACCATGTTCAGCCTCTCCTGGCCGCATGGCAATCAGCAGCAGTGACGCTGGGTACTACTCACATAGGAGATGCCAACCCCCCTCGACAGACGAGCCATCGACGAACACGAAGAACTGGATCGATCCGATCGAATTTCGGGTATCGGTTCTCCTCGACAAGCAGCAGCGTCGCCCGACATTCAGCGCGCACGCGGCCGAGCTCGTCGCAGGCGTCGTAGGACGAATCCAAGAACGAAACTGGAAAGGAACTACCTGCGGACACAATCGCGCATGCTACTATCGCTCTATCCTACTACTATCACTAATATTAATACGAATCATGCTATTAGTACTGCCTCTACTACGCGATTGCACCCAAGAGCCTTTGCAGAACCCCAGGAGCAAACGGAGGCCCACGTAGGTGAGGAGCCGGACGAGGGGCCCTGTGGTAAACTCACTGTTGTGGTGGTGTTTCCGCGCTGCGTTGTCGAAACCGCACTGGCGAATACCGCGTTCACGAGACAGCCAACAAGGGGCCATGATGCAAGCAAAATACCGGCTTTGCAATAACACGGTCTGGTTTGAAATACAACGGCAACCACATGTCTTACGTCTTACCACCGCCGCCAAAATCAACCCCAGAGTTCAACAGCAAAATGCAGCCGGTACTGCGTCGAAGCGCCTCCGTCCCCTTTTCATCCTCTTCCTGCCCCTGTTCTTCCTCGTCGTCGTCGTCTTCCCCCCTCATCATCACCATCATCATCGTCATCCCTCCTACCCCGAATCCTCCTCCTCCTCCTCCTCCTCCTCCTCATCATCATCATCATCATCATCATCATCATCATCATCATCATCATCATCGCCATCATCATGGTCGCTCTCTATCATAGTTTTTCCCGGAAAGGGCAAAGGCCCAGGGTTCTCTTTTAGTATGTAAACAATGTCCCCCGTGCCTAACTTGAAGGAGGCCGGCGGATTCTTTCCCTGATAAATATCGAGGTCGAAGGAGGCCGGCGGATTAAAATTTGAGGACGTCTCAGGCGAAACGCTTGTTTTTGAAATCCCGATCGATAAATCACAGGGTGCGGGCCACTTTTTCGTGTGTTGAGGATGTCTCGAGCGAAACGCTTGCTCCGCAGAGTTACCGAGGATGTCTCGAGCGAATCGCTTGTTTTGTAGAACTTGAAGGATCTGGGCACCCCAGCACCACCACACCCCAGCACGACCCCACCCCAGCACGACCCCACCCCAGGACGACCAAACCCCAGCACGACCACACCCCAGCATTACCCCACCCCAGCACGACCCCACCCCAGCAAGACCATAACCCAGCACGACCACACCCCCCAGCACGACCTCACCACAGCACGACCACACCCCAGCACGACCACGCCCCAGCACGACCAAGCCCCAGCACGACCACGCCCCAGCACGACCACCCCCCAGCACGACTACCCCCCCAGCACGACCAACCCCCTAGCACGACCACCCCCCAGCACCACACCAGACCATCACCCAGCACGACCACACCCCAGCACGACCACCACAGCACGACCACACCCAGCACGACCACACCCCCAGCACCACACCCCAGCACGACCACGCCCAGCACGACCACCCCCCAGCACGACCACACCCCAGCACGACCACACCCCAGCACGACCACACCCCAGCACGACCACACCCCAGCACGACCCCACCCCAGCACGACCAACCCCAGCACGACCACACCCCAGCACGACCCCACCCCAGCACGACCACACCCCAGCACACACCCCAGCACGACCACACCCCAGCACGACCACGCCCCAGCACGACCACGCCCCAGCACGACCACGCCCCAGCACGACCACCCCCCAGCACGACCACCCCCCCAGCACGACCACCCCCCAGCACGACCACCCCCCAGCACGACCACACCCCAGCACGACCACTCCCCAGCACGACCACACCGCCTTGGTTGAGTGGTTGCCTGTCGTCGTGGAATGTTTCGTGGGGTGTCTCGTGGACTGTTTCGCGGGGTGTCTCGTGGAATGTTTCCAGGGAAACGTTGAAAACGGTCGCCCGTGTCTCGTGGAATGTTTCGCGGGGTGTCTCGTGAAAGTGCCCGTCGCCCAATACGGTGTCGTGAAAGCGTTTCCATGCATGCGGTTCTATATCCCTTTCCGGGTTCGTGGGTCGATCATGTTTGCCTCATCGTCACAGTCATCGTCGTCGTCGTCATCATTCATCATCATCATCATCCCTCCTCGCCCTCGCCCTCGTCACCATCATCATCATCATCATCATCATCATCATCATCATCATCATCATCATCATCATAATCCTCCTCCTCCTCATCATCATCATCATCGTCTCCATCGTCATCATAATCCTAATCGTCATCACCGTCGTCATCATCACCATCATCATCCTCATCATCATCACCATCATCATCATCATCATCATCATCATCATCATCATCATCATCATCATCATCATCATCATCATCATCTCTCCTCCTCCCCCTCCACCTCTTCGCTTCCCAGGCCAGGACGGAGGGGGAGAAGAGGAACGAAGTAGTGGGGGGGAGGGGGTTAGTACAATGAAACATGATAAGAAGCTTCCATAGTGAAAATCAATAAGGGCACCCTACAATGAAAACCGTAAGAAGTCCATACAATCAAAAACAATAAGAAGTCCGTACGATAAAAATCAATAAGAAACCCATACAAACAAAAACAAGAAGAAATCCAGACAATCAAAAACAATCAGAAAACGCCTTGGGTCCACGAACCCGCGAAGGTACCAACAAAAACATACCCCAAAAAAAGAAAAAAACAAAAACTGTGAGGGTACCAAAAAAACAAGAATCAATGGTTTTCGTGTCTTCGGACTTCCTCCGGGTCCCTCCACCCAGATCCGCCCAGGCAGCCTGAAGGCACAAATATCTCGGGTCCACGAACCCTGTGAGGGCACCAACAAAAAACGGTGAGGGTACCAAAAACACCAAGCATAAATGGTTTTCGCGTCTTCGGACTTCCTCCGGGTCCCTCCAGCCCAGATCCGCCCAGGCAGCCTGAAGGCACGAAAACCATTGATTTTTGTTTTTCCCGGAAAGGGCTTCAGGCCACGGGTTCTCTTTTAGAGGTTTCCCCCCGGTTTTGACGGGAAGAGGGCCGGCGGATTTCTTTTGCGATAAATAACGAGTGGGAAGAGGGCCGGCGAATTAAAATTTCAGGATGTCCCTAGCGAAACGCTTGTTTTTCAGAATTGGCTGAGGATGTCTCGAGCGAAACGCTTGTTTTGTGTTATAGCTTGTCCTCCCCTGGGGACCTGAATTCACAGGATCTCTCAAGTGAAATGCTTGTTTTCACGTGCCCAGGTCTTGAGGATATCTCGAGCGAGACGCTTGATTTCACGCCTCCAGGTTGCCCAGGCAGAGGTCAAGCGCCAGGATTTATTGAGGATGTCTCGAGCGAGACGCTTGGTTTCACCCGTCCTCGTCGCCCAGGCGGATGTCTAGAATGAGGAGGTGTTGAGGAAGTCTCGATCGAGATGCTTGTTTGCACGTGTCCAGGTTGCCCAGGCGGATGCCTAGCATGAGGATGTGTTGAGAATGGCTCGAGAGATACGCTTGTTTTCATGTGTCCAAGTCGCCCAGGCGGATGTCTAACATGAAGATGTGTTGAGGATGTCTCGAGCGAGACGTTTGCTTTCACGTGTACAGGTCGCCAAGGCGGATGTCTAGAATGAGGAGGTGTTGAAAACGTCTCGAGCGAAACGCTTGTTTTCACGTGCCCAGGTCACCCAGGCGGACGTCTCACATGAAGATGTGTTGAGGATGTCTCGAGCGAACTACTTGTTTTCACGTGTCCAGTTCGCCCAGGCGGATGTCTAGCATGAGAATGTGTTGAGGATGTGTTGAGCGAAACGTTTGTTTTCACGTGTCCAGGTCGCTCAGGCGGATGTCTAGAATGAGGATTTTGACAGGATGTCTCGAGCGAAACGCTTGTCCCCAGCACGTTCCGTAGCGCGTCCCCTTGGCACGTCCCGCGGTGCGTCCCCATGGCACGTCCCCTGGCATGTTGCCTGGCGCGTCCCTTGAGACGTTCCGCGGCGCGTCCTCCTGGCATGTCCCCCTGTCAATTAGCTCTGCGGCAGATGCTATGTGTTCAGGCAGCTCGAGCTTAAGATCCACATCAGTTCGGTCAGGATTCGGATGCAAAGGAGGACTCGATCCACGACGCCATAGAGCACAACCGCGGCATGGCACATCGCAATTCAGCACGGTGCAGCACAGCACAGACTTCGGCACGGTACATCAAGATCGATACAATCAGCATGCAACTTGGCACGTTCCTTGGCACGTTCCGTGGGGCGTCCCTTGGCGAGTCCCCCTGGCACGTCGCGTGGCGCGTCCCCTGGCATTTTCCGTGGCACATCCATTGGCACGTTCCGTAGCGCGTCCTTTTGGCACGTCCTACGGTGCGACCCCATGGCACGTCCCCTGGCACGTCGCTTGGCGCGTCCCTTGGGACGTTTCGCGGCGCGTCCTCCTGGCATGTCCCCCTGTCAATTAGCTCTTGGGCAGATGCTATGTGTTCAGGCAGCTCGAGCTTAAGATCCACATCAGTTCGGTCAGGATTCGGATGCAAAGGAAGACTCGATCCACGACGCTATAGAGCACAACCGCGGCATGGCACATCGCAATTCAGCACGGCGCAGCACAGCACAGCCCTCGGCACGGTACATCAAGATCGATACAATCAGCATTGCATTTGCCCGTCACCCAATCAGGTGTCTTTGAAAACGTTGCCATGCGTTACATCTATATATCTATTCCTTTCCGGGTTCGTGGGTCGATCATGTTTTGTTGTTTTTTTTTCTCAGGTTTTTCATGTTGTTGTTATTTGTTGTTCTTGGTATCCTCAACCCCAAGACGTCTTCTGAGTGTTTTTGTTCGTCTGGATTTCTCATTGTTTTTGATTATCTAGGTTTCTTATTGTTTTGAGTGTATGGGCTTCGTATTGTTTTTGAGTGTATCGATTTCTTATTGTGTTTGATTGTATTGATTATTTATTGGTTTTGATTGTATGGTGTTGCTCCTGTTTTTGACTGTACGCGTGTCTTATTGTTCTGATTGCGCGGAGGAGAAGGGAACTGAGGAGGAGGAGGAGGAGGAGGACGAGAATGAACATGAGGAGGAGGAGGAGGAGGAACAAAAATGATGATGGTAAAGATGATGGTGGTGACGATGTTGAAGATAACAATGCTGAGAAACACCTGACGCCACATAGTCTGAAATGTCACCCTTGCCCTCCCTCCCTCCCCCCCTCCCCGCTCGCCCCCCCCCCGCGCTCCGCGTGGCCCCGGCCTCCGCCCGCAGCCGCGCGGAGGCACGGCGTCTTCTGCGCGCTCTCCGACCGCTTGCTGGGCATCCGCATGGCCGGCCACCCGCCGCGCCCGCCCCCGTGGGGGGGGATGAGAGCGGCGGGGAGGAGGGAGGAGAGGAGGGGAGGAGGCGATGGTGGTGCAACGGTGGCGTGGCAATCAATGCGTGCTCACAGCTCTGCAGTCTTTTGGGGAAACACTGGCAGTGACTGCCAGGAGAAAATGAAGACCCTGGGTGTAAACTCACAAGATGAATTCTAACCTTCAGGCCATAATATGGATGTGAAGGTCCGTGGGACATGGCGCCTGCGGCGCAATGGCGGCTTCGCGATTCGCCTGACTCCGAGCCTTTTGCTCGTCTGTGAGCTCTCTACAGGTGGTGGCGGAGGAGGAGGAGAGGACGGAGGGAGAGAAGCACGGCCCTCCCCAGCCTCGGGCTCCAAGGGCCCGTGCATGTCGGCCGCCGCCGCCGCTTCGGCGTCCCAGGCCTCGGCCTCCGCACCGGAGTCGCCGAGCGCGTTCCACTATTCGCAAAGTGCCTACTCGCAAACGTCAGAAAAACGAATACACGCTTTCCTCTATGTAGTCCATCGTGAATCCTCCGCGGCGGATCCAGGCAATTTGCGAGTAGTTGATTTGCGAGTGGTGGAACGCGCCTCTCCATGGAGGCAGCCTCCGTGTCGCCCTCTTCTGGGACGGGCGGCGGCACGGGCACGGGGGAGAAGGGGGCGACGGCAGCAGCGTGAGCGGCCGCGGCGGCGGCAGGAGACGGCGGCGAGGGGGGGGGGGAGAGGCCTGGAGGCACTTCCATCTGCTCACCTCTGTTCTCAGGCCCAGAGGTTGACACCAACATGAATATCTGCGGTGTGCCTCCACCGAGAGAAGAAGATCCCGATTTCGGTGATGGTGGTAATATTCTGGCTTCCACTGTGACCGAAATATTGCCACCAACTCCGAAATCTAGGATCATCTTCCCCATGTGGAGGCACCCCCCTGTTTTAGTGTTGGTGCCAATTTCTAAGCCTCCAATCTCCGTCTCCTGTGACACACCGCTTGTTTTTCGCATAGTCTGGAGCCGTCACACAGTCGATGTCTGGATCCAGCCTGGCGTACAGCGTTTTGAGCACGTGGGAAACCTCTGGATCACAGGTCAATGGTAGTCTGTCACCGGCGACAGCTTGCAATGAGTCCGAAATAGCATTTGCTAGGGCGGCAGACATACGGGTCGGGCACTTCTTCTTGCTAATCGTTTTGAATTGGAGCTGGTCTGAAGTTTTGCCCACCAACGTCATATGTACCCTCTGGCCATGATTACAACGTCCATTGTTACCCTGAGAGCATCTGTGTGTAGCGTTGGCATTCTTATGGGGACCAGTCTCGTCGGGTCTCGACCTACTTCTGATGCTGGGAGGTCCTGGAGTACGCATTGGTCGAAATCTGTGGCAGCCGAGATAGGAGAGGAAGCAAGAGCGCGGAGCGGACCCCACACGAACGAAGCGGGAGCTTGCAGACGCCACACTGCCGGCTGTGGATGCACCCATTTGCTGGTTCCTGAAGACAGGTGATCATTTAAGAGCAGCGGAAGCCAAGGGCTCCCACGAGGGCGCGAAGTTATTCGCGCTCAGTGCTTCGCGATCCTCGTTCCTTCTCCCCCTCCTCCTCGTCCTCCTTTTCTCCCTTTGGGAGGGCGGCGCGAGAGCGCGAAGTTATTCGCGCTTCGCGGAGCGCGAAGTGCAAAGTTGGGAGCCCTAGACAATCGCAAACAGAAGTAGGTTGCCTGCCTCCGGCTGCTCCTGCTGTCTCGCTGAAGCCCACGGGACACCCCACGTGCTTTCGTTTGTCCGTACCGGTGGGGCCCCCCATTCCAGCCACCGAGAAGCACACCATGTTTCGCACGGGGGGGGGCCTGCAGTATTCCATGCCCTGTGAGCCCTGATGTGTCCCCTCCCCTCTGCTATTGTTTGGCGTCGTGTGAGATCCCCTTTCAAGTGGTGTATGGCCACTGAGAGCACTGTGATCTGACAGCCTGGGAGGATGAGCTCCGCTTCAATGTGGGACTGGACGTCTTCTGATCTTCGCATGCCAGAAAATTATGCTAACGGAGTTCCCCACATGGGCGTTTTAATAGGGCGCGGGCTTAGTCGGGAAGAGGAAGAGGCGGAGGTGCGGGGGGAGGGGTCGACGAGGATGGCAGCGAATACTGTCCTCGCTCAGGCGGGGCCTCCCTGGAGGGGTGGGAGGGGCACGAAACCTGATAAATAATATGGTTTGCGAATGCTGTCCTCGTTCAGGCGGGGCCTCCCTGGAGCGGTGGGAGGGGCACGAAACCTGATAAATAATATGGTTTGCGAATACTGTCCTCGCTCAGGCGGGGCCTCCCTGGAGGGGTGGGAGGGGCACGAAACCTTATAAATAATATGGTTTGCGATACTGTCCTCGCTCAGGCGGGGCCTCCCTGGAGCGGTGGGAGGGGCACGAAACCTGATAAATAATATGGTTTGCGAATACTGTCCTCGCTCTGGCGGGGCCTCCCTGGAGCGCTGGGAGGGGCACGAAACCTGATAAATAATATGGTTTGCGAATACTGTCCTCGCTCTGGCGGGGCCTCCCTGGAGGGGTGGGAGGGGCACGAAACCTGATAAATAATATGGTTTGCGAATGCTGTCCTCGCTCTGGCGGGGCCTCCCTGGAGCGGTGGGAGGGGCACGAAACCTGATAAATAATATGGTTTGCGAATACTGTCCTCGCTCAGGCGGGGCCTCCCTGGAGCGCTGGGAGGGGCACGAAACCTGGTTTGCGAATAAATAACTATATGGTTTGCGAATACTGTCCTCGCTCAGGCGGGGCCTCCCTGGAGAGGTGGGAGGGGCACGAAACCTGATAAATAATATGGTTTGCGAATACTGTCCTCGCTCAGGCGGGGCCTCCTGGAGCTGGAGCGGTGGGAGGGGCACGAAACCTGATAATATAATACTGTCCTCGCTCAGCGGGGCCTCCCTGGACGTCCTCGCTCCGGCGGGGCCTCCCTGGAGGGGTGGGAGGGGCACGAAACCTGATAAATAATATGGTTTGCGAATACTGTCCTCGCTCAGGCGGGGCCTCCCTGGAGCGGTGGGAGGGGCACGAAACCTGAAAATAATATGGTTTGCGAATACTGTCCTCGCTCTGGCGGGGCCTCCCTGGAGCGGCCGAGGAGGGCGAATACTGGCTCAGGCGGGGCCTGGAGAGGGGCACGAAACCTGATAATAATATGGTTTGCGAATACTGTCCTCGCTCTGGCGGGGAATACTGTCCTGGAGCGGTGGGAGGGGCACGAAACCTGATAAATAATATGGTTTGCGAATACTGTCCTCGCTCAGGCGGGGCCTCCCTGGAGGGGTGGGAGGGGCACGAAACCTGATAAATAATATGGTTTGCGAATATTGTCCTCGCTCAGGCGGGGCCTCCCTGGAGCGCTGGGAGGGGCACGAAACCTGATAAATAATATGGTTTGCGAATACTGTCCTCGCTCAGGCGGGGCCTCCCTGGAGCGGTGGGAGGGGCACGAAACCTGAAACATAATATGGTTTGCGAATACTGTCCTCGCTCTGGCGGGGCCTCCCTGGAGGGCAGGTAGGTATTGTATGGTATTGTATGGTGTGGTAGGTATGCGGTGATGGTGTATGGATGGTTTCCTACGTGCTTGCCTGACTCCGGTGGTCTGCTATAGTATGGTATGGTATTGTATGGTATGGTATAGTATGGTATGGTAGGAATAGGAAGAGGGAGCGAGCGTGGTAGGTATGTATTGTATGGTATTGTATGGTGTGGTAGGTATGCGGTGATGGTGTATGTATGGTTTCCTAGGTGTGGTATGGTAGGTACGGTGGTCTGCTATAGTATGGTATGGTATTGTATGGTATAGTATGGTATGGTAGGAGTAGGAAGAGGGAGCGGTATTGTATGGTATGGTATAGTATGGTATGGTAGGAATATGAAGAGGGAGCGGGAGGTGGGAAGGTGGGAAGGTGGGAAGGTGGGAAGGAGAGGGTGTCCTGGGAAAACAAGAACCCCACTCAGGATGTGGGGAAAAAGTGGAGTATGGAAATCTCGGCTCTGTGCATTCGCACTGAGATTGCCTCTCGTGCCATCTCCTGGAAGTATTGGGGCCTGTAGATGTAGTAGCGGTCCAGGTACGACTGGTCGCCTACCTCCGTGCCGTGGTCCCGAGAGGCTCTGTTGATGGCTGCAGGGGCATCTTGATATAGGACCTTTCTGGCCTCGTCGGTGAGCTCGTTAGATGGAGTCCCGAAATACAGCTTGGCGTCTTCTTCCGATAGAGATACGAAAACCCAGTTGGAGTCTCATATGAGGCCCTCAGGATTGATGTGTGATGTAGCTGGGAAGGCTGACCGGGGTACATGGAGGGTTTGGGAGGCATTTGAAACCATCTCGGGGCCGCCTTGAGGCCTCTTGAATGTGCGCCTGCGGCTACCTTGAGCCATCTTGAGTTATCTCGAGCCATCTTGGAGGCCATGTTGGGGTCTCCGAGGCCTCGAGCGCCCTGACCGATCCCCCCTCCGCCCCCTCCCAGGTCCTGGGGAGGGTGGGGGTAAACCCCTCCCCCGAGCAGGGGAAGAAGGAAGATTGGCAGAGAGAAATTCGACGCCTAGAGGGCTGGTGGGATTTATTATTTCGCAGTATTGAAACTATTTTATGGCACATTGTATGCGCTCGTAAAAATACTGGTTCTGCTTGGTTCGACATCGCAGCGGCCTCCCCGAGCCTAACCCGCAGCTGCATTTTCCATGTTCCAAGGTCCGCTGCTGTTCCGAAGCCTCTCATGAATGCCGCAGATGGTCTTCGCGGCAAAAGACCATCAATTTGTGTGGCGGCATCAAGTTGGGGTGGCGGGTTTCTGATGGGGTATGCTATATGGCGTGGACTTAAACAGGGGTGCCCTCTATCGGATGTGATGTTCGCGATTGTCGCTGGTCCTCTTCGACGTATCCATCGGCCGCCCGTGCATCAAGATGCTTGACGTTTCGCTTATGCTGGGGAGGCGGGTCTAGCGG